AAATAAATAAATAAATACGTAGTATTCTCCATTAAGATGGTCTTTGCAGACGCCTTAAGATACACAATAGTCATCCAAGATAACTTGGGGCCTTCAGAAAAATATACTTTCCTTTATTCTTTTTTTCCTCACCCTCTTTTTTTTTTTTTTGAGACAGGGTCTTACTCTGTTACCCAAGCTAGAGTGAAATGGCACAATCATGGCTCACTGCAATCTCAACCTCCCGGGCTCAAGTGATCCTCCTGCCTCAGCCTCCCATGTAGCTAGGACCACAGGTGTGCACAACCACACCTAGCTGAATTTTTGAGTTTTTGTAGAGATGGGGTCTCACTTTGTTGCCCAGGCTTACCCTTTCTTAAACCTCCATTCCCCTGAGGAACAACCTGGATGTCAGTTGTCTGACTGCTTGAATAGAAGACAGATTTTACTAAATGTTATAGCTGGAGAAATGACTGGAAATTTAACACAGCAGATTATCTAGTTTGTCAATACAAAATAAGAATTCTTTAGAAGTTATCAAAACAGTATGTTGCGAGTCTTTTTAATTTTTAGAGTAAATATGACACAATGGATAGCTTTAGAACAAGCTAACATTACTACGGTTCAAGCATGTGCAACTGGTACAGTTCAGTAGTACATAAACGACTCAAACAAATGTACGACAGGTCAGAAACTTAAGTTACAAAATATAGTCAATATTACAATCAACACAGAGAAGTAAAAACCATTGCTCTCAGATTCTGCACACTTAAAAAAACATAAACTTTATACAGTAATTGAAATTATGCATTTCTACTCAGATTATTAGAGCGTATTACAAACACACAGAAGCCTAAAAAGTTATGGTCACATTTTGGTTTTGTTCCAGTGGTGCACAATCACATGAAATGTTACATCCGTTTTGTGTGAAATAAACATTTGGCTGAAGTGCAATAGCTGCTGCATTAAAAATATTTCCATAAAAATGCTTAGATTAAAATCTTCCTGAACGTTAGGGTTCTAATGTTCAGGATTATTTTAAGAGTCCTTATGAAGAGTCCTTAAAAATTATAGAAATAGATGTAGTTAGGAAATTTCAGTGTGTTTTGTCTGTTTTTTTTTTTTTTAACGTGAGTAAACAAATACTGGATTTAAAGTGCAGCTCCTTTCTCCTCTCCCTTCGATTTTCCCACCCCCAAGAAGGTCAGATCTGTATTAATTTTTAGAATTTCCATTGAAGATTAAATTGAGCAACAGTCAAGTCTGTTTGTTTCGAAAGTCAATGATGGCCTTCCACAGTGTGCACAGCATCCCTCCCCTGTTGAAAGACACAAGAACATGGTGAAAAGAACATTTCATTTGAAACACTGCCCTTGAAATAGAAAAGTGACTTCTTAGCTTTCATCTGCTCTGGTCAGAAGAAGATCCCAAAGTCTGATCAGTTATTATGTATTCTTTTTGTATATATTTTCTCATCTTCCCTCCATTCCTTCTCTTTTCACTCCCACAAACTGCTGTGTCCCAAAACATCATTTCAGATTTTCAGCATTTTTGAAATTTGTCTTTATAATGGTGGGTATAATAGTTTTCTGCTTGGGCTGGGTGCGGTGGCTCACACCTGTAATCCCAGCACTTTGGGAGGCTGAGGCAGGCAGATCATGAGGTCAGGAGATTGAGACCACCCTGGCTAACGCGGTGAAACCCTGTCTCTACTGAAAACACAAAAAAATTAGCTGGGCATGGTGGCGAGCACCTGTAATCCCAGCTACTCGGGAGGCTGAGGCAGAAGAATGGCGTGAACTTGGGAAGCGGAGCTTGCAGTGATCACGCCACTGCATTGCAGCCTGGGTGACAGAGCAA